CCCTCTGTCCCCAGGCAGGGATGGAAGTACCTGCTCACCAAACCTGGATGTTTTCTCTCTGCAAGTTGTTTATAAGATAAGGTGCTGTATCCCCAACCTGAGCCTCAGCCCACACACCTGCACACACACACACACATGCATGCTCAGATGCGCACAAAGCTACCTGCATTCTCATCTTCGTAAGCACACAGGCCTGGTGAGAGCTTCTTGAAGACCCAGGAGAGAGAGAATGTTTGTTGGGTCTTGAGCGGGTACCTAACATACATGATATAATAGCCCTCATGTGTGTTGTTTAGCTCCAGTTGATAGATGAGAAAACCGAGGTTCAGAGAGGTGAAGTAAGTGCCCAAGACCATCCAGCTAGTGAGGCAGAATGGGGATTATGCAGTTAGTCTCACCGAAGTTCAAATGTCTGTGTGACCTTGGACATGTCTTTACCTCGCCGAGTCTCAGTTTCCCCTTCCCGTAAAGTGGGAAGAGCAACAATAATATCCAGCTCACAGGTATGTTGTAAGGCCCTGCGCTCAAAGGGTAGTCTGAGCAGCAGCACAGACCTCATGGGGAGCTGGCTAAAAATGCAGGTTCTCAGGCCCCGCCTGACCTACCTACTGAACCAGAATGTACATGTTAATAAGACCCTCATAACAAGACTTGTATGCACACAACAGTTCATAAGGATTAAACTGGATAATATCTGCATTGTTTCTGACACTATAAGGAATACAGTAAAAGATAGCATTGTTGTGATTTCTGATGCCCCTTCCCCTTCAGGCAAGACACAACTTCGCCATGAATTGTCTTGGCTTTCCCTGAAGCTGGTGTGGTCTTAGTGCTAAAATCTATCAGAAAGTATCTGATTTGCTCCATGGACAAGTATTTATTGACCTGTGAGTATATGGAACTACACAATAGCTACTAATATTTAGGGACCTCTTCCTATGTGCTAGGCCCTCCCTCTTCTAAGTGCTTTCCATGGGTTAACCCATCTAAACCTCATACCAGCCCCATGAAACCATGGGCCTTGGCTTTGAGGAGATTCCACATTCCAAAAACAGGTGGTGGCAAACTTTTTCTATAAAGGAACAGATAATAAGTATTTCTGGCTTTGCTGGCCATACAGTCTCTGTTGCAACTACTCAACTTTGCTATGGTAGCATGAAAATTGCCATAGACAATATGTAAACAAACGAGTGTGGTTGTGTTCTAATAAAACTTTATAAAAACAGTTGGTGAGCCAGATTTGGCCTGCTAGTTGCAGTTCAGCCACTCCTGGCTGAGACCCTAATAAAGGCTGCAAGGTCTCGAGCAGGGAGATGCATTGCTCTTGACAACTGGAAGTCCAGTGAATAAATACAGGCTGAGTGCTGGCCACTATGCCAAGTTCCAGGCTAGGCATGAAGACAGAGGAATGCAAAACAGGCCCAGTCCATGTCTTTATAAGATCTCATGGAGAAGATATATGTCAGATAATAACACAGATAAATAGTTATCAACTAGGACAGTGTTATGAAATAAAGATGCCCTATGGCACCATGAAGGCACGGGACAAGCTAATGTTCATTGAGTGTAGCCATTTGTCCAAGGCCACCCAGCAGAGACATGGGGGACCTGGGAGTATGAACCCACGCAGTCTGCCTCTAGGCTCTGTGTGCCTACCACTGCACTCCCCTGCTTTCATGCCTCTTAGAGCCTCTTCTGAGTCATGTGGGGGTCAGAAGAGGCAGTGATGTTAGAGCTGACCTCTGATGGATAGGGGGAAGCTAATTTGGCAGAATAGAGGCGGGATGTGGAGAGTGTTCCGGGGAGAGGAAGCAGCATGAGCGAGGGCTTGTCCAGGGACCTGAAAGGAGCTGGATCACTAGGAGCTGGTGGAGGGGCCGGGGGAAGCACTGAGGGAGATGGAGCCACTGGGGCCATGCCACACATGGGTCACCAGGGTCCTGTGGGTCATGCTTCAGAGCAGGGGTCCTCAAACTTTTTAAACAGGGGGCCAGTTCACTGTCCCTCAGACCGTTGGAGGGCCGGACTATAGTTTAAAAAAAAAACTATGAACAAATTCCCGTGCACGCTGCACATATCTTATTTTGAAGTAAAAAACCAAAACGGGAACAAATACAATATTTGTATTTGCATGTTGCCCGCGGGCTGTAGTTTGAGGACCCCTGCTCGAGAGCTTACCTTTATCCAGAACAATGGGTAACATTAAAGGACTTAAAGTGGGCAGGACTGTCACACTCTGATTTGCATCTTAAGAAACACAAGGATTCTCAAGATATTAAAAAATACATATCCTCAGGTGAGGATTAAAAAACACATGGATTAAGAAGGGGCCAAGGTGAGTACAGGGAACCAGTGAGAGGTCTATTGCAGTGAGAGGGCTATTGCAGTGAGGGCTACTGTGGCTGGCCAGACAAGTGATGGTGCTTGGCCAGGATGGGCACAGAGGGTATGGGTAGAGCTGGGTTTGAGGGGTGTTAAAGAGGTGGACTAAGACTCGGCGATGGGGGATGGGGACACACTGGCTTGGGAGGAGCTTCCAGGCTCTTGGGCATCTCTCCCTCTCTCCTCCTTCCACATTGTGCCGGGTGCGGTCACCAGTGACTGTGGAAGGGGATGGGCTGCAGCAAATGCGTGTATGAGTGCATGTGTGTGAGTGTGTGAATGTGTGAGAGTGTGTATGTATGAGTGTGTGGGTGTGAGAGAGTATGAGTATGTGTATGTGAGCGTGTGTGTGAGAGTATGAGTGTGCATGTATGTGAGTGTGAGTGTGTGAGATAGTATGTGAGAGTGTATGTGAGTGCATGTGAGTGTGAGAGCATATGTGAGAGTGTGTATATGTGAGAGAGTGTGTGGGGGAGATTAGGGGAGAGAGGAAGGGAGAAGGAGAGGAGGTGGGAGAGAGAGAGAGAAGGTGTTATTGGAGAGGAGAGAAAGAGAAATAGGAAGAGGACGAAGAAGGTGGGTGAGGAGAAGAGGGAGAAGTCGAGAGTGGAGGTTGGGAGCATGGGCTCCAGGTGTGGGCCGCTTGGGTCCCACCCCGTCCCTCCCCTGTCTTTGTGGCCTCCATGCCTCCTCTTTCTCAGCTGTATGACGGGGCACCAGCAGTACCTTCATCTTGGGGTGGTCGTGCAGATGGATGAAGATAATGCATAAAGTGCTAGGCCTGGCCCCGACACAGCCGGCATCCAATGAGCGTTTGCTGCGTGTAATGACACATGAACAGAACTTGGAAGCTCAGTGAGCGTCCTCCGGGAGCACCATCTGTGCAGGTCCTGGGAGCCTTCCCAGTTCCTGTTGTCCCTGGGGTTGGTGACCCTCTGCAGGGCGGGAGAGAGCGGCCTGCACCGTCTCCCTCGCTGCGCGGCCTGCCCTCCCTGAGCCTCAGTTGCCCCCGGTGCCGCAGGGAGAGGGTCAGATGCCGGCTCAGAGGGCTGCGGTGGTGTCATGGGTATGCGCACTTTAAGCAGTTAGAACAGTGCCTGGTACTGAGAGCACCGGGAAATGCTGGTTCTCCCCACAGTAGAGCGTATTGTTGCTGTTCCCTCTGGGCCTGGGGTTACCTGGGTTGGTGTTGGTTCAAGTGCAGGTTGTGACTCATGACTAGCTGGTGTAGTCAGCATGGTGGCTGCAGCCAGCACCTGAATGAGTGGGCCGGGTCCAAATAGAAATTGCCACGCGTGCACAGCGGGCGGAGGGCAGGCCCCGTGTTGTGAAACGTAGGTTCTGGTTGCATGGATGTGAGCACCAGCTGCAGCTGAGCAGGTTCCCTAACTGCAAGGATTGGTCACCACAGTTTTAGCCACGCTGACCATGGCGACCTCTGGGGGGAACAGTTTTGCTAGAGGGGGCTGCAGGGCTCGGACAGTGGACAGGAGCACTCGGCCCTGCCTAACGTTCTGGGGGGCAGGTGGCATCCCAGGTAGGGTGCAGGGCTGGGTAGGCCATTTACCTCTCTGGGTCTCGGTATTTCCTCATCTGTAAAATGGGAGGATGGGGTTGTGTGTGCATCTCCAGCATTTCAGGAGCGTGGAGGGTGTATCGCTGTGCTTCTATCCTCTAACCCCGTGGTCGGCAAGCCACGGCTCACGAGCCACATGCGGCTCTTTGGCCCCTTCAGTGTGGCTCTTCCACAAAATACCACGCGTGGGCGCACACGTACAGTGCGATTGAAACTTCGTGGCCCATGCGCAGAAGTTGGTATTTTGTGCAAGCCTTGAGTGTGGCTCTTCCACAAAATACCGACTTCTGTGTATGGGCCACGAAGTTTCAATCGCACTGTACGTGCGCGCCCACACGTGGTATTTTGGGGAAGAGCCACACTCAAGGGGCCAAAGAGCCGCATGTGGCTTGCGAGCCGTGGTTTGCCGACCACTGCTCTAACCTGAAGTGGGGTGATGGACTTCTCTCATGTTCCGTGGGCAGCGGGGACGCTCTAACAAAGCACCCTCCTAGCCTTTGTCTCATCGCCCCTCAGCGTCCCTCCCGGGGACTGGTATTTATCCAGGCTCAGAGAAGTTGTGTAATGTGCCCAAGGCTACAGAGCAGACCTCACCTTGAATTCAGGTCCTTTCCCTCTACATCACAAGCTCAGACCTTGACCCCTGGTATTCCCCACACTTCCCACGCTGAGGTACCTAGGAGACCCCTCGGTGCCTGGTGGGCCCAGCACAGGGGGGCAGAGAAGGGGAAGAAGGGAGGGGGGTCCCCTGAGGCTGGGAAGGGTGGCTTTGACTCAGCTTGAGACCCTGTAGCCACCTCTTTCCTGATTCTGGGAAGAGGGTGAATGTGCCAAGGGGCCCTAGGAAGGGTGGGTTCTCATTTACTCATTCAGCAAACATCTCCAGCTGGGTGGGGGTGGAGCGAACTGTCTATTTGCAGCTACTCAGAGGAGTCGCTGCTCACGGTCCAAGGGGCAGGGAGAAGAATCCGTAACAAATCATGACATGCAGGTTGGGGCAGAGGATCCTTCCAGAAGGATCCCTGTCTTTTAGATGCTCTTGCCAACCAGGTTAGCGCTTAACAGAGAATGATAGGAACTCACATCTTCCAGGTTAAACAATTACTTTTCTTGTCTAGCCCAAGATTAGCATATTATAGGCCAGGGGTCAGCAAACTACGCTGCATGTAGCCGCTGTCCGTTTCTGTAAATAAAGTTGTTTTATTTCCTTCCGTTTTGTCTCTGCCTCTTTCATGCTCCAAGGTTAGTTGAGTAGTTGGGACAGATTGTACAGTCTGCAAAGCCTAATGTATTTACTATCTGTCCTTTTACAGAAAAAGTTTGCCGACCTCCTATTCTAAATGCTTAAAAATATTGTTGCATTTAGTCAATTCAGATCCTCGGACCCTGCGCTGCTAATATATGTTCAAGTCTTTTGTTCAGGGACACCAGCATGAACCCAACACTTAAAGCTCTTCTCTCTTTAAGAATTAGGAAATGAAGGCATGGAGTAGGAAAGGGAAAGTCACTGAAGAATCCTATTAGCTTTCCTTTATTTAACAAGCAGCGTTGATGGAGCATCTACTATATTCCAGAAGCTGTTAAAGGCACAGCAAAGAATGAGACAGAGTTCCTGCTGCAAGCACTTGGCATCTAGCCATGCTCGACCATTGGGGCTGTGCTGTGGGGCTCAGCTTTGCCCCCTTCCACCTCTGTGTGCAGGATGCATCTCTGCATGCAGGTCTCCTAGTCCAGCTCTTTCCTTGAGGGTCCTCCCCATGTGGTCTCCCCAGAGCCACAGCCTGTCTCATTCATTCCTCTATCTCCTCAGCCCTGAGCACAGGGTTAGCACATGGGTGGTGTCCAATCAGCCTTCTCACTATCACCAGACTCCTTCCGGGACCCCAGACATGATAACGGGGAACACAACCAAATGGCCCTTCAGGAATTCCATTTATGAGCAGCGTCTTGCAGGACTTCATAAAAATAAATGACGAGCATTGTAAGATATTCTCCCTCATTTAAAAAGAAATCTATAAATTGCATCATGTTCCCTTCCTTCCCCTTCCCAGCTGCCTGGCTGACGTCATGTTTTGTGGCTTCTCAGCAAAACCCAATTCCGGGCTGACCTGAGATTGGCTTTGATGTGAGGAGTAATTATTGAAAGAGATGGGTGATCCATAAAATAAAATGCCTCCTACATTTTTCATAAAAGTAATCCGAGAGTAATGCTAACCCCTCTGCCTCAGGGGAGGGGTGGAGCGGGGCAGTTCCTGGGAGAAGAAGGATGGCGGGAAGGCAGGCCCAAGAGCCCCAGCAGAGCCTTCAGCCACTTCTGCTCAGTGGCTTTGCTATCCCGGGTGTCAAGGACCCTCAGCCCCTCTCCTGGAAATCCATTTCTCAGGGAACATTTCCTCTTGTTAGTTTTTGCCGATTCTTGAGAACCTTTTTTGGGGACTCAAAGGCTTTCTCTTGCTAATATGTGTCAGGCGGACTTAAGATCGCAGCTATTACATCAGGATTTAACTTTGACTTGACTTGTGGGGAAAGAAAATAAAAATCTCACATTGTTTCGGTAGAATTTCTAATCTGGCACTGCCCAGATGAGTGTCTTCATTCAGTTATTTAAGAAATATTTACTGAGGGCCCTGGGCTAAACATATAATGCAAACAAGATGGGAAGAGCCCTGGCTAGTAGCGTTGGTAGGACGGTGAGGGAGATGGTTGCTCCAACAGACAAGGACTCTATAGCTTAATAAAAGTGCTGTGCTCTGGGAATCTGTTCAGGGGCATGGAGGACTTCCTGGAACAGGTGATGTTTCAGCTGAGACCTGGTGGGTAAGTTGGAGTTTGTCAGACAAAGAAGGGAGGGTAAGGTGCTGCAGGCAGAGGGAACAGCATGCATGAAGGTTTGGTCTCCGGACAGGAGGGAAGGAGGCAGGCCCTCTGCTGAGACCGGGACCTCTAGATAGCCCTGGTGTTTGTGCTCTAAAGCAGCGGTTCTCAACCTGTGGGTCGCGACCCCTTTAGGGCTCGAATGACCCTTTCACTGGGGTCGCCTAAGACCATCGGAAAAACACATATATAATTACGTATTGTTTTTGTGATTAATCACTACGCTTTAAATATGTTCACTTTGTAACAATGAAATTGGGGGTCACCACAACATGAGGAACTGTATTAAAGGGTTGCATCATTAGGAAGGTTGAGAACCACTGCTCTAAAGGCTGGAGGGCAGAACCCGTCCCCATGAAGGAGATAGAAATGGCTTGCACTCACGGAGGAAATATTCTGCTGTGTCAGCTTCATAATCTGTATCCTCTGGGAAGTGATCAATTTGCTTGCAGAGACCTTTGAAGTTCCCTGGAAAACAAGAGGAGAAAGGGCACATGAGACATCATAGTTTCTGGGGTTCAGACCGCTGGCCTCTTCTGAAGCTGGCCCAGCCTCTCCCTCACTCTGGAAGGGAGGTATCGCTTTGTCTGTGTGGACATCCTCCGGGTGAATCAAAACACGCAGTGCTGGGGAGAGGATCTAAGGCCTAAGACTTCAAAACCCAGCCGTCCACGGAGGCTTCTGAGGATGAGCGGAAGCTTGGCGGGTGGTGGAGGTTTGATTCGGGGCTGGGCACTGCCACAGAGGAAGCCATGAATGGTGAACCGGTGTGGTCACCTCTGTGCCCTAGCTCCCCCACAGTCACCCCACAATCTGCAGGAGAGAAAGCGGATAGCTTTCCAAAGAAGACAAACCCTAAACTGGTGCTGAGAAACATTCCCACAGCACTTTGGATAAACTTGCAAAGCGCCATCCCATCTGCAGGGCATGAAATTCATGGCACCCGACCACCAACAGCTCTGAAATCCAGCGGGCGAGCCCCCACAGGGGTGGGCTGGGGTGGGGGGAAGCTGGGCCCTCTGCCAGGCTTTTGGACTAGACTCATTCTGCTCTACCACAGGCCTCTGAGGGGGTATTTTCACCCCCATTTTACAGATGAAGAAACTGACGCTCAGGGAGGCTAAGTTAATAAGTACTTGTGCCAAGAAATGATGGAATCAGGGCTTTTGACTAAATATTTGCTCAGTGAGAAGGTGAGAACTGGCTCAGGTGAAAACCCCAGCCCAGTGCCACAGCAGGCCCCACCAATAGTCACTAAGTGAACTATGCAATGCAATCTCCATAAGGACAGATGCGCAGAACAGAATATACAACCGTGTCCACTTCATGACAGCAGGGACTTCTGTGTCCCCAGCACCAGCATAGTTACAACAAGTGTTGGCTAACTTCCCCTATGCTGGGAGATACGGTGCAGGGGTGAGAGGCTGGGAGATACGGTACAGGGGTGAGAGGCTGGGAGATAGATAAGGTGAAGGGGTGAGAGGCTGGGAGATATGGTGCAGGGGTGAGAGGCTAGGAGATACGGTGCAGGGGTGAGGGGGTGGGAGATAAGGTGCAGGGGTGAGAGGCCGGGAGATAAGGTGTAGGGGTGAGAGGCTGGGATTAAGGTATAGAGGTGAGATATGGTGCAGGGGTGAGAGGCTGGGAGATAGATAAGGTGAAGGGGTGAGAGGCTGGGAGATATGGTGCAGGGGTGAGAGGCTGGGAGATGAGGTGTAGAGGTGAGATATGGTGCAGGGGTGAGAGGCAGGTTCAGCCTCACTGACATGCCTCAGTTTCCTCATCTGAAAGTAGAGATCATAGGAACTCTGCCTTCGCAGCTAGTCATGGGGATTAGGCGAGCTGACATGTATAAAGTGCTCAGAACAGCGCCTGGCACATTAGTGAACGTGCTCGAGGGCATTGCTGTGAGAGAGAATGGATTTGGACTATATTCAGCCACTGACATTGGGGATTTTTCTGTGACAGTAGCTAATATAACCTAATTAATAAGTCCTCAGTACATGCTAGCAATTTATTTTCCTAGAGAACTCTGAGCGGCACATCCCATAAAAAAGGTTTTATTGTATGCTGTGGAAATTGATTATGAATTTTAAAGCATTATAACACAGACCCGTGTATATTACATACACGCGCATCTATAGGACGCGGGTATACTTACATGAAATAAGCGTTTTATGTATTTCTAGCTGTTGTTATATGCTACATATTACAGAGAAGATGGTTGACCTCCTCACCTCCCATTCACTGTCTGTACCAAATTTACCTCCTTTTGCGACTTCTGCAAGAAAAACCATGCCCTAAAGCAGTGGTTCTCAACCTGTGGGTCGCGACCCCTTTGGGGGTTGAATGACCCTTTCACAGGGGTCGCCTAAGACCATCGGAAAACACATATATAATTACATATTGTTTTTGTGATTAATCACTATGCTTTAATTATGTTCAATTTGTAACAATGAAAATACATCCTGCATATCAGATATTTACATTACGATTCATAACAGTAGCAAAATTACAGTTATGAAGTAACAATGAAAATAATTTTATGGTTGGGGGTCACCACAACATGAGGAACTGTATTAAAGGGTCGCGGCATTAGGAAGGTTGAGAACCACTGCCCTAAAGCATTTCGAGATTTCTGGCAACTTGATGGAAGCTTTGTAGGGTCCCAAGAGCACAGAGTTTCACCCAAATGCTCCCAAGGGCAGGCCTCTTCTCTGAGTGTCTGGGCAGTCCCTCTCCTTGCTTCCTTCTCCAGGACCTGTTGTCTCCCCGCTTCTCTGTCCTTGGAGCACATTTGCCCTCGTGCATCTTGGTTCATTAACCAGTTAACTGCCACGATATTTTGAATTTAATTAAAAAAGGTCCGCCGCTTGTATCTGTAGACGCTTATGGCGTACAAATGGTTAACAGGAGGCCTCAAACCCCCCAGCAGCTTCTCCCCCTTTCCAACTACACCCCCCTCTCTCCTGAGAAGTGTCTCTATACCAGCTGCTAAGAGGATATACTATCCTCCCTAGTGTTAAAATTACAAATCAGTGTGTTTGAAAAGCATTTTGCAAAGCACTTTCATTTTCTCTCAATTGAATCTGACAAATATTTCATCAGCGCCAACTCTAGGCCAGGCATCTTTCTTCATAAGGCAGTGTGCAGGAGGTGAGGTGTGGAGAACGGTCCTGACATGCCCCAAGTCTCCTAACCGATGGGGGACAGTGCTCAACCCCAAGCCAAGGGCTCGCAGGCGGAGCCTCCACACCCCTCTTCTAAGGGTGCACGGCCGCACCTGCTCCCCACGCAGCCTGGATGCCCTCTGCACAGGCCTGTGCCTCAGCCATCTTTGGGCTGCCTGTTGGCTCCTAGCACAGTGCTGAGCACAGAAGAAGGGCGAAGAGATGCTTGTTGGGAGGCTGTGTGAAATAATCAGCTGCACGGACCTCTCCTGGGAGGTCCAGACCTGGATAGTCAACTGCTTATTTGATGTCTCCTGGTGGATGTCTTAAAGGCATCGTATGCTCAGCAGGTCCAAACCTGAACTATGATCTTTCTCTCAAGCCTGGTCTTCCGGAGGCACCAACTAGCTCAGTGAATACCTCTCCATTGCTTCCTGGTGCAAGTTTGAGCCCAGCCATCATCACTGACATCTCCTCCTCGCTGCAGGTTCATGACATCCTGCTGTGTTAGCTTCTCAGTATCTCTCAAACTCATCGATTGCTCTCCATAGACAATATCACCCACTGCCAGACCACCTTCCCTGCTTCCCTGGAGGACTGCAATAAGTTCCCCACTGGTCATTTTGCACCCACTCTTATCCCTCTCTACAGAGTTATCAAACTGGTCCTTGGAAAATGCCAATCTGATCAGGCCATCTCCAGCTTAAAATACACAACAGCTTCTCCATGCTCTCAGGAGAGAGCTCAGCAGCCTCTGTCTGTCCTCCTCTCTCTGTGCACATGCTATCTGGGCCTCCCTTCTTGCATGCTCCTTCCTACCACAGGATCTTTGCACGTGCTGGTCTGGCTGCCCGAGCCCCCACCACATCCTTTGTTGCCTCCTTCCCTCTACCTCCCAGAGAGATGTCTACCACCCTGCTGGCTATTTTGTGTTGGGGGAGATGTTAAGGCACGAGTGATGCTGGTGAGAATGTTCCAGTACAGGAAAGAATTGGCCCAGAAAAAGGAGGGAGCAATGTATAAGCAATGTGAGGGGGGATGAGGTCCAGGACACAAGTACAAGGGTGGCCTTTGATGGGGTGGATGATGGCCTGTTCCCTGCACCAGGAGGGCAGGAGACACATGTGGGTAGACATGGTGGGAACTTTTCTCTTCTGGTTGCTTCTATTTTATTGAGGGAATGGGAAGCAGGATCATCAACTGAGAATTAGAAGGGGTGGCAGGATTAGAGATTCGAGGAAAGAGGAAGGAAGTCAACTTTTTCTCCACAAGAAAGGGAGAGGAAATGGACCAGGCTTGAGACATGAAGTATGTATGTCGGTGGCTTCAAGGTCCCTCTTGAGATCCTGTGGTTTTCTCAGGCTACATTTAAGCATGCTGCTGCAATTTATCTCGCTGGAGGGTTGCCTTTAACCAGGACGGGGGTCTGTGAGGAGAGTGCAAGAGGGGAGGGAGTGATTATGAAAATGGACAGGCCTGAAGCTGGGTAAACAGGGCAGTGGAAAGATGGGCGTCAATGCATTGGCAGCTAGGGTGGGGGTCAGAGAGTTGTTAGAGTCAGGGACTCGTGGGAGTGAGCTGAAAGGATGGGCCTGGGAGTCCAAGAGCGGATGCAGAAGACTGAGATTGTGGAGTGTGGTTATTGGTAATCTCAGGGCCAAGTGTAAACCCATGAACTGGGTGGTTCAGGTTGCAAGGAGGTAGGGGTGACATTCAAAGTATTTAGCAACTGGAAAGGGCATCCAAATGAACATATAAGACAAAGCTACAGTTCGTTTTCATTTCTATGTACATGGAGTATATATTACAAAACTGCTTACTAAGTTAACAGTTGAAGTGCAAATGATTCATCACATTATCCTAATACGCCCTAAATTATCGGTTGGTTTTTAGAAATTATTGGTGTGATCTTTTGATGATGAGGCTCTTACAAGCTAAATGACAGCCCTGTCTGGACCACGATTTGACACAGGGAACCACACCAGATGCTCCTGGCCCTTCTCTGCTGCAGCACGAGTCATGCCGTCTCAGTGAGTACTGAATCTTAGTACTGAGTTTTCTCCTACTCTGGTCGGAGGACTCTGCGAAAATGGCCCTCCATCCTCAGCAGCCCAGCAGGCGGGACTGACGGTGGTGAGGGGGAGGGCCGAAACCTCAGAAGTGGTGCTCTCACAGCAGTAGTGTGAGCACAGCTTGGCCTGTCACTCAGGGCAGCAGGAAGGGTCTGCTCTGCTTGGGCCTTTGAGCTTGTGCTTGGGCTGGGCCTTGGGGTTGGTAGAGATGCAGGGCCTGAGGCCC